ACCAGTCTTGCTGGGACAGTATCCTTGCAGATCACACAGGCTTGTCTGGATCATGACAGCAGACATGACATGATCTGGTTTTAATCCACCATGAATATCCCTGTGATTAAGCTGTGACGATCCTATTAGCCTCATCACGGGTCAACAGCTGTCTGAGTGACACTCAAGTCTCAACTACATCAGCAGAACGGACTCATGATGAAATAAAACATTCTGCAAGCAACATATAAACAAACTGCAAATATTTCATTATAGTAGAAGTTCCACTAGTGACTGTTTTTTTAGAGGGCTCTTAAAGGGGTCATATGATGTGATTTCAAGTTTTCCTTTCTCTTTGGCGAAGTATGTCAACATATTCTGTTACACCAAATACACAAAATAATGATCTTTAAAATAGCATCATATGACCCCTTTAAAAGCATGAAATTGACTTTTTCTGTCTGCTGCCGTTCATTTTGTTCATGCCGTTTTGAACACCACAATAGCAGCACAGCATAGAAACAACTCAAACAACTGCATAGCAGTATTGATTCACAAGCAGCTATACTCAAAAAAACCCAGAAATGTCTGTAGACTCTGTGATCAGAATTTCTGTTTGTTAAAATTAGTACAATCATTTCAGAAGCATAAACCAAAAAGTAGAATGCACTTTTCTGATTGTGAATATCTGGTTAACTTGCTGCTAAGTGCCAAAAAGTCAAAGATTTGACATCACTAACCTGGAAATGATTATTTCTTCTTCAAAAGCACTTATTCAACACTGTAAACACAGCTTAACTTCCAGGTGGATCTCCAAAAGCAATCAGAAGATTTCAGACTGTTTTCCCCCATGCGAGACGCACCAGGCAGTCAGTGAATGGACAGTGTGTTGGTGTGCCATTTAAAGTTGAGAACGGATTAGAGGGAACTTGAGGATCATCAACCTGAGAAGGCAGCTTGACCTCAGAACACGTCCTTCACATGCCTAGAAGCATCAATGGACACTTTTCCATAAGTAAAAACGTACTTCACCTCATCCTAGACTGGTTTAGTGCATAGCCAGCACATTTCTAATAGCTAAATACTGTGGAGAACTAAATTTATGTGACTGCTGCTCTAGTCTGAAGTCTCATTCATTCAGTTCTGCATCCAGTTTAGATCTTAAAATTGTTTAACATGCGTCAAACTCAGTGCAATTTGTTTGAATGACTATGCAAAAGCACTGCACTTTTAAATAATTATGACTCATTGTTATTTACATAAGAGCATTTTCATTGATTTGTCATCCCATTAACTTTTCCAATAACACTGCTGCAAGACTCCACACTTAGTCTGCCCTTCTCAGATGACCTTGTAAAAGCTCTTAGTTCTCCAATGTATGTCAGGAAGTAAACTCCTCTCCCTGGGCCAAGCAGATCTATATGGTATAATCTGGATTGCAAGGCTGAGGAAAATGCAATTTGAAAATAAACCGACAAATATGCAGTTATGGGGCTGTTTGTACAGGACGAGTTCCAGCTAGATGGAGCACAATGCAATGAAAGAAAGGTAGCAAGAGATGCTTTTCAACTCCTTTTAACTTGACATCTACAAACGTAAAAATAAATATATACATTGAGCTGAGCACCTGTTGTTTTATTGTCACCATTATCTACAAGAAACATAATTACAATGGCAACAGACAGTTCAAAAGTTTGGGGTCGGTTTTAAAAGAAGTCTGTTATGCTTATTAAAGGGGTCATATGATGCTATTTCGATTTTTCCTTTCTCTTTGGAGAGTTACAAGCTCTTGGTGCATAAAGAAGATCTGTAAAGTTGCAAAGACTAAAGTCTCAAATCCAAAGAGATATACATTTATAAAAGTTAAGACTTGTCCACGCCCTCCTAAAACGCCTCGTTTAAGCACGCCCCCACATGTCTATGTCACTGTGTGGGAAGATTTGCATAACACC